CGCGAAGTTAAAGAAAGTTAGGACAGCTTCGAAATGCCTTGAAATCCGCACAGCCGGAGGTCATCTCGTAACGCCTGCAGGAATTTGCACAGCGAGTCACCATTAACGGCCGTATTTATCCTACAGACTTCGTAGTCCTACAGCGTTGCTCGAGAGATGTCATCCTTAGCATGGACTTCTTATGCCTCCACGGTGATGTCATCAACCTAAAAACAAAGTCGATAACGTTATCCACAGAAGAAGCACTACTGCCGCGCACGCCGTCAGGACACCATGCCTTGAATGTGCTGGAAGAACAAGTCACCATTCCGCCTCGCTCAAGCGTCATTATTTCAGTCGGCGCTCCTAAATCACCTGACTTGGAAGGCGTCGTTGAAGGCAGTCAGCATCTGTTGGTCACCCGAAATATTTGCGTTGCTAGAGGAATTGCAGAGCTGCGGGGAGGCAAAGCAACGGTTATGCTCACAAATTTCAGCAATGAGTACAAACATGTGAACAAAGGAACAACGGTCGCATACATCGAAGAAATTGTCGAAGCCACCAGTGCTTTCGCCCTCGCCGATTCTGCGGAACCTGCTCAGAGGAACCAAGCCCCTCCGATAGCTTTCGACGTCAATCCCAGACTTCCGAACGATAAGCAAGAACAGCTCAAGGCCCTGCTCCTGCAATACGAAGATTGCTTTTCGTCGTCATCGAAAATTCGGCAGACCCCAATCACGAAACATCGCATCATAACCGAAGAAAATGCCAGACCACTTCGTCAGAGTCCGTACAGGGTTTCGACGCGAGAACGTGAGGCCATGAAGAGACAAATTGATGAAATGCTGCGGGATGACATCCAGCCGTCCAAGAGTCCATGGGCATCCCCCGTGGTGTTAGTGAAGAAAAAGAATGGGACCCTACGTTTCTGCGTCGATTATCGCCGCCTGAACAAAATCACAAGAAAGGACGTGTATCCTCTCCCACGAATAGACGACGCACTTGATCGGCTCCATAACGCCAAGTACTTTTCGTCAATGGACCTCAAGACTGGCTATTGGCAAATCGAAGTCGACGAAAGAGACCGAGAGAAGACGGCGTTTATAACACCGGACGGCTTCTTCGAGTTTAAGGTGATGCCCTTCGGCCTTTGCTCAGCGCCTGCAACTTTTCAGCGCGTTATGGATACAGTACTGGCAGGATAGAAGTGGCAGACTTGCCTTGTGTACTTGGACGACGTCGTCGTGTCTTCCTCGAGTTTCGACGAGCATCTTCGGCGCCTTGAAGCGGTACTTCAAGCCATCAAGACGTCCGGACTCGCACTGAAGCCAGAAAAGTGCAGATTTGCGTATGAGGAGCTCTTGTTTCTGGGGCACGTTATCAGCAAGTCTGGAGTTTGTCCCAATCCACGGAAAACAGCCGCCATCGCCGACTTCCCGGCGCCCACTGACAAGAAGGCCGTGCGCCGATTTCTGGGCCTGTGCGCCTATTATAGGCGGTTCGTGAAAAACTTCGCCCGCATTGCCGATCCTCTCACTATCCTTACCAAGGCCGATGTGGAGTTCAAGTGGGAAACGCCACAGGAACACACTTTCCAGGAGTTTAAACATCACCCCCAGACGCCTCTGTTACTTGCCCATTTCGGCAAATTCGTTGAGACAGAAATACATACTGACGTAAGCAGCGTAGGTCTTGGCGCCGTTTTTGTGCAGAGGGCTGACGGACTTGAAAGGGTTATCAGTTACGCCAGCCGATCGCTATCCAAAGCAGAAGCAAATTATTCCACAACAAAAAAGGAGTGCCTCGCCATCATCTGGGCTACGTCAAAATTTCGCCCCTGCCTCTACGACAGGCCCTTGAAAGTTGTGAGCGACCACCACGCCTTGTGTTGGCTAGCCACCTTGAAGGACTGTTCAGATCGCCTCGCACGATGGAGCCTGAGACTTCAAGAATATGACATTACTGTCATTTACAAGTCCGGCAAAAAACACTCCGACGCCGACTGTCTCTCGCGTGCGCCTGTCGACCAACCGCTACCCGACGACCCCGATGACGACTACTTCTTGGGAACGATAACTACCGACGACTTCGCTGAACGACAGCGGGCCGACCCGGAACTTAAGGCCCTAATAGAATACCTCGAAGGCAGGACCGCCGAAGTCCCGAAGGTATTCAAGCGCGCACTTGCGTCGTTCTTTCTACGAAACAGTCTTCTACAAAAGAAAAACTTTTCACCGCTTCGAGCTAAGTACCTCCTTGTGGTGCCTTCAGCTCTGCGACCAGAACTCCTGCAGGCCCTGCACGACGATCCGACGGCAGGGCACCTCGGTGTTTCTCGCACGCTCGCGAGGATACAAGAAAGGTACTACTGGCCACGTCTTACCACCGACGTCACTCGTTATGTGAGGACATGCCGGGACTGTCAGCGACGCAAGACACCGCCGACAAGGCCAGCGGGACTTCTGCAGCCAATTGACCCACCTAGCTGACCTTTCCAGCAGATTGGTATGGACCTACTGGAGCCGTTCCCGACGTCGGCTTTCGGAAACAAGTGGATCGGGGTAGCTACCGACTACCTCACCCGCTACGCCGAGACAAAAGCCCTGCCAAAAGGCAGTGCATCCGAGGTAGCTAAGTTCTTCGTCGAAAATATCGTCCTACGTCACGGCGCCCCGGAGGTCCTTATCAGCGACAGAGGAACGGTATTCACTGCCGACTTAACTCAAGCGATCTTGGCATACAGCCAAACAAACCACCGCCGGACGACAGCGTACCACCCACAGACCAACGGCCTCACCGAGCGGCTTAACAAGACGATCGCCGACATGCTGTCAATGTACGTCGATGTCGAACACAAGACGTGGGACGCCATTCTTCCGTATGTGACCTTCGCATACAACACGGCAGTGCAGGAGACGACGCAGATATCTCTATACAAATTGGTCTACGGAAGGAGCCCGGCAACGACGCTCGATGCCATGTTACCCAACGTCACCGACGAAGAAAACCTCGATGTGAGCGAGTACCTTCAATGCGCCGAAGAAGCCCGACAGCTTGCGCGTCTCCGTATCAAGAATCAACAGACGACCGACAGCCACCGTTACAATCTTCGACGACGCTTCGTGGAATACCAGCCCGGTGAACGTGTTTGGGTGTGGACGCCGATACGCCGACGTGGACTAAGTGAAAAGCTTCTGCGACGGTACTTCGGACCGTACAGGGTAGTTCGACGTCTCAGCCCACTTGATTACGAGGTTGTCCCCGACGGCATCACGAACTCTCAACGACGCCGATCGCGACCTGAAGTCGTCCATGTCGCGCGCCTTAAGCCGTTTTATGCGCGTTAACAAACTGAAACAGTGTTTTTTGTGTTATTGTTGTATCGTAATTTATTCATTGTACTTTCTTGCATTATTGTTGTACCTTCATCTTTAGTTAAAGCATCGGGACGATGCCTTTTTTCAGAGGGGGGCAATGCCACGTTACATTTCCCAAGTTTTTGTTATCGTCCTAAAACACCACACGATTCTCATCGCATACCACGCCTGCAGTTTTCGAGAAGGCTCCGGACTGTAGTAGATCATTTCGATAAGATCACGCCCACTGTGCGAACGGTACAGATTGTCTGGAACCTACGCCACCGCCATCGATAACGCTAGAACATTCGACGGCAAGAGTATAAATGCCGACGCGCTTCGCCGCTTGTCAGTTGTTGATCGAAGGCCGACGCTCCGTTCGCCGCTATCATTTCGAGACTGCTATCTGTGCAAGACTGCTGCTGTAATTGGACTTTCCGTTTACCGGGCACAGGTTCGCCCAAATAAACAGTTAAATCCCGACACGAAGTCTCCTGTCTTCGGCCATGTCACGACCCCGTGATAATATTGTGATACTTCTAGTATGCATTGTGTGATTGTTGTTCAATTTACCAGCTCGTGTACCTGTTCCTGCTATAATTGGCTATCGAAACAGCAATATTTGTAAAAAATAAATAAATAAATTAGAGTAGGTGGCAACCATTGCAATGGTACGTTTCACAGAGAAGTGAACGTTCTTTGCCATTCCTAAGAGTTTAACAAAGAGATGAGCACTTTGCACTAAATGCAAGAAATAAGCAATCCAATCTGGTATTTAGGACGACTTAGTTTTTCTGACCAGATTATGTTCCGGCACGCTATTTTTTCTAACTTCATTGTGTGTGCTTCCATTCTGACATAAGAAAGATCGTGCGTTTCCTGCTTGCCCCGAGCTCTATTTCAATATTGCTTGGAGTGGAGCTTTTATTTTGATGATTATTGTATGAAATTACTTGTGTTTCAGGTATCTAAAAATTTGGTATGCATAAGCTGTTCTTCAACTATTCCACAATTAACTTTCCTAATAATTAAATATTTAAAAATATAAGGAGCTCTGGACAACTGCTCATTTTACTGTATTTTCTCTGCAGTAGAGCTTCTGCACCTGAACAAAGAGTTCATTTGCAAAAATTGCAGAGGCCTGTCAGTCATAACGTCTTTTAAAAATCTGTATTGAATTAAAAACAGCCTATATATAGCTCCATATAGGCTGTCAGCTCATTTCCTGCACACTTGTGTTATTGGGTATGTGAAACCTTGTATGTCCCTTGCAAGACATTTCGATGACAGTTTGGGTTGCCTTGCAATCAGAAAAAGAATGCTCATAGCATTATTCTTGCTAAACTTATTGTGTATGCATAAGACAGGTCTTTTACTGCACAACCATGACATCAAAAAGTTGCCACCAACTGTAGTGACCTTCTGAGCTTGTGTATTGACACAATTCATTGCATAAGGTTCACTGTGTTGCTAAAATGTATTGTAGTTTTTTTACTTAAAGTGCCGTTTAGATCCTTGTTAATTATTTAGTGCATTCTTCACTGCAATCATGTGTAAAAAGTGGCTGGCATTATATAGCTTCCATCATAGCACAATTCAGTGCCATGTACAGTTTGGAAACTGTGGGAGTGACTTCACTAACTGTCCCTTATTGACGTATTTCAGTTGCCACACTGCCTGGAAGGGTGGCAAGCCGCAAGTCACCAACAAGGGACCAGCAAAAGTGAACCTGTTACGTTATGTGGTAAATCCTGCACGATGAACAGCACACGTGCACATGCAGAATGTTGATGACGTGATGTATTCTTCCCTCAAGTCTTGCTTACCCTTGATTTTCATCAATAGTTACAAGCAACATAATAATTTGTGCTTATTGTAAAATGATTTCTTGCTCTTAAGTACATTTACTCATTCTTCTAAATGCATTGTTGACAGACAGTGACTGCATTTTGTGTAGTAATGAAGGCTCTATAAACACCTTTTCTATTTGTTCTAGAGCTGAATAATGTTTGTCTATTAATGCAATACACACTTGCATGTGCCGGAAGCCAAGTTGAAGATAATGTATATTGTGCTGGCTATGACAAAGTGTATATGACCTCGTATGGTAATAATTATTCTCTAGTATTTGTGATAAGATCTTAAATGCCCTGACTGTGCAACATATGTCCAACAATAAATACACTTATTCTTTATAACTATTTCCTAGTGACACTCATTTGTCAGAAAGTTTGGATACAGACAATCTGTTGGCGTTGTGTTGATAGTGTGTTTACTTATAAATTCCATGCTAGTTCAAAGCATTTACTGGCTGACACTTTGGCCTTAAGTCAAGACAAATCATTTGAAATTTCTACTAAAGTAATTGGCAAGTATGGCCTTTCTTCTGGGCTTCTGAAGTCAATCATCTGTTAAAATGCTTGTAATAGTCTGTGGTCTGTATTTTAGTGAAGGCTACGATTTCAGGAAATAAATTTAGATGCAGCACGTCACCTGTTTTAGCACATCAACAAAATTTATGAGTTCCTGGCCCGTGGTTTTGGGATCGCTAAAGAATTGGTCTTTTTTGGCATAGGGTTAAAACGCAATGTGTTCCATTCTCTCTTAATGACATATTGCCATGAAATCAAGGCGAATAAGTTCCTAGATTGCTTTCTCAATTAAACTGAGATTCAGTATGTCAGTATGTCACTATGGCAAGCCACCAATGTTGAAAGGTGGCCTGTACTCTGACATACTTCTTATATTAGTGAGGAGCCCATAACTGCTTGAAGACACCTTACGGTGTAGTATTCTGTAATGTGCCCTATCAAGGTTGCCTCACTGAGGCCTTGCTTGGTGCTCGCTTGAGTTAAAGTAGCACCAGAGCAACCTTTGCGTCTCCCTACCTCTTTCCTTGCACTGAAAAGGGGATTCTCTGCAGTACTCCGTCAGCAACACTGTCTAATTTCACATTTTTGATTGATGTTTCAACTCTATATTGTTAAAGAGCTTCTTTCACAGAATTTCCAGTGACAGTGTCATTGTTTGTAAGCGAAAAATTATCTTGCCTTCGACGGAAAAGTAAGAAAAATGCAAATAAAGTCAATAATAAAAATTTTCTTGTCCAAGTTAGGATAAAACCCAGGCCCTCCACGTGTAAAGGCAGGTGTTCTACAACAAAACCAAGACATTCCTTGAAGCTTCTTTGGAAAAAGACACTTTATGAATGTCTTGTAGTGGAAGCAGTTGCCTTCAACGCAGCTTATGCACCGCCGCGGTGGTCTAGTGGCTAAGGTACTTCGCTGCTGACGCGCAGGTCACGGGATTGAATCCCGGTGGTAGCGGCTGTGTAGCGATCAAGCTATGCCTTGACCCAGCGGGTCATTCGCCACGCCGAATTAGTGCCAAAAGGACAGTCTCGCCAGGGCTGGACGGAGGAAGCAACAGAGACCGACTACACGAGACGGTGCCCACTGATTGACAGCGGCGCCAACTGTGTGGAATGTTGCCAAAGAGGGTTTCGGAGCCGCCGCTGTATCTCCCGCCTGGGCCACGCATCGTTAGCGCGTTAACCGGCAGACGACGACAGCGCTGGTCAAAGGGCCCTCCCCGGAGGATTCCACGAACCTGGCACTTCTCGAAAGGGCGCGCTAAGATCTTCTCGTGGGAACGCAGCCCGAGGCCGGCACCAAAGGGGTCGAGGCACCCGTGCGTCTTCCGCTCTCCCCCTACCTGTTCTACGGCAGCGCTGCGACTAGTGGCAAGGGTGTGTGTGTATGTGCAAGCCTGTGTTGTGCCTCTATGAACAGACATGATGGGCGGTACTTCATTGAGAGGAACTGCCACATCACCATTGGTCCGCATTGTTTTGTGTAGTGATCACCAACCTAGGGACCTAGGGAATGGGGGTCAACAAAAAGGGCGTGCAGTGGCTCGCCCAACGATCTTATCTTCTCTTCTGTCATCTCGACAACTCACTGTAAAGATGTAAATAAATCCGTTAAGTTTGCTCAACACTCTCCCCTAGTCCTTGGCTCAACGGAGCGACGGCGACCGGCCCCGCTACCCGCAGACTGCGGTCGCCACGACGCGCAACAACTGGTGGCAGCGGTGGGATGTGAGTCTGGAGGACGGAGAATCAACAACACGCCGATATCATGGAGACTGGCAGCTGTGGACTGGTGAGTGCTGGCTTTGGTTTTTTGGTTGCCAGGCTGATAAGATAGAAGTGCAATCTTTTCGCTGGTAGAGGCTACCACAGAAGCAGTTATTTATGAAACTTCTGGGTAGAGAGTGAGCTGCACCACACTAGTTGTCTGCCATGGATTGGAAGCGTTTGTTGAAGAATCAGCTCCTGATTCTGGGGGAGGAGCTGGGAGCAGAAGTAGATGCGGGGATGAAGAAACACGCAACTGTTGGCGCTATCGATGGCTTGAATCTGAGCAGTGAAGATATTAAAGAAACGTGGAACGAGATTCAAAAGCAACAGGAACAGGAGCGCGAGAAAAAGCGTGAGGAACAGGAGCGTCAGGAAAGGCGAGAGCAAGAGAGAGAGCAGTGGAAGGAAACCCTAAAGGTAAAACTGGAAGAGACAAGAAGATCAATACAGTGCCTTAGATGGTCTCAACTAAATTCGAGGATCCATGCATTCGAAGAGGGCGAGGATATAGAGAGTTGCCTAACCTCTTACGAGAGTGTTTGCACAGACCTAGGGCTCGACGAAGACTATTGGTCTATCGCCTTATTGAGTGTCCTTCCGTGCGACTTAATGGGTAGAATAGGGTACGTTTCCGAGGCGGAGTTCAACAGTTACAATGTAGCTAAGGTAGCCTTACTGCGGTGCTTCGGCATCAAAATTGACAGAAAGCAAATTGAGTACAAGCTCACGAACGCTCCGTTGAAGAACGTGCGACGGTGTGCTGGTATTAAAACCAAGCCTGAGAGAGGTCCGCGTGTCTCTCATAGCACCAAGGTGAATAGTGAGCGAAATTGGGAGATAGAAAAACGGGAGCGAGGTGAAGAGCTTGAGCGAGCACTCAGCCTAGAGATTGAACTGTCGGAACAAAAAGTTGAGGCAGCGTGGTGGAAGATTCAGCCATCCGCAAGTGTAGCGCACGAAAAGTGCGAGGTGCAGCCCAGAGCTTTAGAGAAGGCTAGCACGTTTAAAGACAGCAGCAGGTTCGATGAAGAACCGAATTCGAGTGCTGCGAAAGATGCTGCACTGAGTACAGAGGCCGACGAAGGCCAGAGCGAGTGCGACGAGGTGCTGTTCCAGTTAGCTGTTAGTGAAACAGCTAGGGTAGCTGTAGAAAGGCTGGGACAGACCTCAACTGTGTTTGTCGCGACGGTGGATCTTGCAAATGAGGTTGAAGTAATCAAGAACACCAGAGAAAGCTCAGGAGAAGCAGCCATAGTAGAGAGTGAAGGCAACAACGCGGTTGCAGATAGCTCCCAAGAATGCCAGCGAGATTGTTCAAAGAGCTGCATTGTTCCTTTTTGTGTTAACCTGTCGGCCAGTGCAGTGTGTGAACAGAAATATGATTCGGTCGAAAATCATTTAGACTGCGTGGTTGAGACAGCAGACAGGAGCAGTGAGAGTGTTAACGAGCTGGAAGTGCGATTGGGAAGCTCGGAAACGAGTCACAAGAAGCGGCGCAGACGAAAGAGACGTCGCAAAGCAGCGAGAAAGATGAACAGTACTATGCGTGTAAAAGAAGGCGCAAAACCTGTCAGCGTTGCAAATAAGAGCTTTGCAGCAGCGTCAAAACTGCATTTCATGCGTTCGAGCAACCGGACGAAAAGTAAGAGGAAAGCGGGTTTGCGAATGGAATTGCGTGGAGAGCGCCGGTCTTTCCGTTCTATCCACAGAACGTTTCAGGACGTACCTGAGTACAGCGTTAGCACAGGTGAATCGGCCGGACAAGGCAACAGAGCCAAGGAATCAAAGTTCCGAAACACTGTGGCAGGTGGTGCAGAAGCACCCTTGAGCTGTAAAACTACCGATGACGCAACCCGAGGCCAATTTCCTAACGGTGCAGAAAAAGTCGGTCGTAGACGTCGCCGTAGAGGAGTGAAAGGTACGCGCGCGACAAAGCGAAGGCAAGGAGGAGGAAGCAAGCATCGGGGAGAAAGAAAAGAGGGTAGCTCATCGGCCAGTTCAGCGAAGAGGCCTTTGTGGGGGGAAGTAAGGCGCCAGCGGCGAAAGGGTAGGCCACGGCGCGCATCCTCGCGACGGAATGTACGCAGGAGATTTAAAGCTTTGCGGGGACAGGATTGTCGGAGGGGTCCTAGAAGAAAGGCCACGATAGCTAAACACCACACGCGAGCTAGCCCAAAGAAGGCATGGCCACTCTGTCCCACGCATCGCTCGGGTCCCCTACGCAGAACTGACAGAAGCCCGCCAAAATCGCGAATGAGGCCTTACGCTGCAGTTAAGCTGGAAACACGCACTCGTTGTAGACTCGGGCGTCCTCGGAATCCGGCAAGACCGCGACCGCCACGTGTGCGATTGAAGTGAGAGCCGACTGTAAGCTGGAGAATCGGACAAAGGAATATTTTTAGAAGCCTGTTTGTTTGCTTATTTTTGGTTTTAATGTAGTTTTCCTGTGCCGTCTCCACAGCTTGTTTGTTTAGTTGGTTTTTCACTCCCAAAATTTTTTTGTAAACTTTGTGAGTGCTTCGAGTTGAATTGTTAAGCGTTATGAGGAAGCAGTGGCCCGCATCAGTCTGCCGACTGCGTGAAATTAGTTCTCTTCGAGACAAAAGCATGTAGGTCAGGGATGATGATTTGCTACGCCCGCTAAATTTGAATGAGGGGGGGCTATAGGTTATCGCGGTATGACCTATGATTAGGGGTGTGTTAGTATGCTAGCATTCTTTGAATGAGAGTATGATGTCGTGCTAGGGCGCACAGCAAAGTCTTGTGCGTTCTTTAAAAACATGGGCTGACATGAAACTACATTCAGCAAATAAGCGTGTTAGTACACGAAATTGCATTACCCTTTGTTATTTTAGTATGTGCTCAGGGATCAGGTGAAATCTTTAGCTGAACGTCTTGTTATACGGAACGTTGAGGGACATTTTTCCGTAATAATTTTAAGGGGTCTTTTGAGTAATCGAAATTTTTAGCTATGAGCAAGAGTATTAGTGTGGTTGTCATTTCAGAAAAAAAAGCGTAGGTGCATCGTGGCACATTTGAAAGACCAGCCTGGTTGCCGAA